GCCTGGCAGATTGACTTGATTTGATCCTTGCTGAGTATCTGCGGGGTGAATTTTAGACAATTTGTAAATAATTCTCAGATTTCAGTATCTCATCATATTGCGATGCTTATAATTTTGGCAGCGGCCGGCTGCCGTCGACACTTATTGACGGGCTGAATTTGTATCCCATTCGTCACTGCCAGTGTCCTATTGAAATAACCGAATGGGAGGGAAGGCTTTCGCTTTTTCCGAGCGTACTGTTTTCCCGACTCGATGATGGCTTGGCAGTTTGACTTGATTTGATCTTTGCTGACAATCTGCGGGGTGAATATTATACAATTTGTAAATAATTCTATAATTTCAGAGTCTCATAATATTGCGATGCTTATAATTTTGGCAGGGGCCGGCTGCCGTCGACACTTATTGACGGGCTGAATTTGTATCCCAGCACGTCCCTGACAGTGTCCTTAAAAAAAAAAAAAAAAACGAATTGTACTGTTCACACTGTATGACAAAAATAAACTATACGGGAACTTCAAAACAGACCCGCGGGCTGAAAACTGTAATATGCAGGGTGGAGTAACCGCTCGAGTATCGCATTTGATCGGTCCACTGGAAAATCGCCAGATTACCCACTCGGGCCATGCTCGTTTACTGTGTGTTGGTTGTTGGGGTAGCTCACAGTGCCATGCAATCTAAAACGGCCACTGGTGGGAGAGTAATCTCACCTCAATGCCCAGTTTCTGTTTGAGGACCAGGGCGGCGCAGAGGTAGCCGGCCCGGCCCACAAACAGCTCATCGGAACCGCACTCCAAGAAATGGATGGGCGCGCACACCTCCCACAGGTTGCGAAATTTCGTCAGCGGCTTGACGAAGTCGGCCAAACCCAACGACTTGTAGATCATCGCGGCCGCGGCGTACACGCCCGCACCGCCAAGCAGGAAGGCGGCGCGCATGCTCCTGTCCGGCTCGGCGTCCGCATAGCGTACCGACACGTCGATGATGCGCTTGGCCGCCTTCAGGTACGCGTCGCGTCGCTCGGAGAACAGCGGACACTCGCTGACGTGGTAAAGCATATACGCCACGCCAGCCGGACCGTCGTAAAGCCCGCCGTCGCAGTCCTCCACCTCGCTTGAAATGGGGACCTTTGAGAGGATTCTATCCACCGTTGCCACCACGGCCGGAACCACCGTTTCGGCCCCGTGGTCGGGCAGCAGCGCGCTCTTGCTGTAGTCCGAGAAGCGGTTGGCGAAGCAACGGTTGTTCTCCATCCCCGGAGTAAGTGGCCGAATACAGCGGCGACCGGAGGACTGTTTGCCTGCCTGCCTGAGGTATCCAAGGATGGGAGGAAGGTGGAGAAAATATAGGTCCAATTCAACCCTGACCTGATTGGTCGTCACCAGTGAGGGTTTTTGGGCTCAGATTGGATGATGGTCCTGACTGTTACCCCAAAAGTACCTGTTGAAATAAGAGCAGGTCGGCCACTTTATTAGATGCAATCCAATAATGCCAGTCTCAGAGGCGTGCAGAGGGAGAGTGGAAGAATTTATCTTCAGAGAATTTTACTGTATTTTTGTGGGCATAAATGTTTTTTTTTTGACTAAGTCTAAGAGGTAAAGCAAGGGGCATCTGTTCAAGAGTTAAATGAATGACAATAACGACTCATGAAAATGATTTTCCCCTGGTAATTATTTTTTTTTCTCCTTTTCTATAAATTCGCCTTCAGAACACAGCACTCCACATCCCTGCACTGTGACTAAGCAGCATGTTGAAAAAAATTCTCATCCTCTTAAGAATCAGTTTTGCTGTGTGTATTGTCACTTGTCATCAAAGTTAATGTGCTATATTTGGGATTTTTTTTCAATTAAAGTGGTCAACATTTTTCTACATGTATGACACTTCAATATGTTGCAAAAAAGTCTGAAATCCAATGTTTGGCGACCAATGTATTAATCATTTCATGTTTTATTGTATTATACTATTCATATCACAGTGCGTAACATGTGAAAAGTTACAAATGTTTACATATTAAGACATTTCCTTGAGGATAGCGACACTTTGATGAACGAATTCCAATTTTTTAATATTTCCAGTGGGAAAATTTGCCCTGAAATACAAACAAAATGAGGTTAACAGTGTCTTCAAAAGAACTGCGTGGGACCATGGAGGGTATATTTGTTTTGAAAAGAAAGTGAACGTTCTCACCACCAGGGGAAGCCAACAGACGCTGTCCATGGTGCTACAAAGGCAACTGGTCTTAAAAGTTGCAAGGACACGGAGGAGGTGGTAGGCATAGAGTACAAAAGTAGTATAAAGTCGCTGCTGCTGGGATTAAAAGGCTGGAGGCTTTGTGTAGCCGATCTCCTCCCAAACTTCTCCGGACACTTTTGCGACACAGCTCCGCGTGCGAGTAAGGACCGCGCTGCACACCCCCCCAGAAATTGGGATTTCTTCCTCACAATTTTGAGGTTCGTTGTTTGAATCGACTCCAGCCTTCCCGTGTGTTGTTTGCATGTTCTCCGGCTTCCTATCATATTCCAAAAATGCCTGTTCGGTCCGCTGCCTTTTGCCCAAAATCAGCTAAGAGTTCAGCCGTGATCTTAATGAGAAAATGCGAGCGCTTTAGAAAATGGATGGATAAATAAGAGTTCATAAGATGCTCGCTGAGCCCAAGTGTAACAAGATTTGCTGTCGTGGTTGAACTGTGGAGGTTGTACTTGATACCACTCCAAGAGTGTTCCTCAAGGGTCACTATCCTGCATCTTTTGGATGTTTCCCTCTAACACACCTGATTCAAATGATCAGCTCACCAGCAAGCTCGAAGAAACCTGATCATGTTCCTGATCATTTTAGGACCGGATTTGAACACCCCTGCACGACACCAATGACAAAATAACACAAATCAGTTAAAGACCTTTATTTCACATTTTCCAGCCAAGTATCACTGCGGTGTATTGTTTCAAGTGCTCATCACAACGGTATGCAAACAAACACCACTAGCCTTGGATAGCAGATGCATTCCCATGGCCTATTTTGCCTGCCATTTAATCTTCTGTGTGTGATGTTTGCAAAAGAATACAATGGAAAGGGAGGGGGTGGGGGGGTTGTCTTTTACCAGATCAACTCGACTAACCTGTCCTGAGAAAAAGATCATTCTGATAAATAGGACACAATGTGAGGTATACTTAGGTCAAAGCCTGGCGGGAAAAAAAATGACAACAAAAGGCTTTCGGCCTTGATCGAAATATTAAAACTAAAAAAACATGACAAATGATCAAATAGATAGAGATGCTATTTAACCCAGAAGATGATGAACAATTGATTAGCGGCAAGTGACTCAACATGTGGATGAAATAATATGCTGGAGGGTTATGAAAACCCATTGTAACAGTTTTATCAAAAACTACAAGGTCCCCAGAAGAGCATATAGCTCAGATCATGCATATAGAGTCCTATTTATTGTCCAATTCATAAAATGCTCGTAATCCAACAAGCACTTAAATCATATCCCCCGATAAGTGTGAAGAGGAATTTTTTTTTTTTTTGCCACTTTGAAACACAGAAAGTCACCAGATAGATTTCTGATAAAATAGCATGATTTTAAATGTATGAATACAAATATGATAAAGCAATATTTTTTTTCCTAATCAACAGAAACCTTTTAGGATGGAAAAAAATGAAAATGCAAAATTAAAGCTGCAGGTAGCAATGAATGGAAACTCACACTCCCATTTCAAAGTGAATGCCTGAAATGAATATCATATACATTATCTCATGTAAAAAATATATATAAACGGATGTTATATTTTATGAGTTTTACAAGAATTGCATACGCAGCTATTCCAAAACAGCCTTCACAACGCCTGCCCTTAATAATGCGGTGGTGTGAACATGTCTACATTTATTTTGTACAGAACAAAGGAGATGAAATCTACCTCCCATTAAAAAGAGAGAAAACCCTACTTTTTTCATCTGGGGGGGTTCACTTTTCATCTCCACTGTTTGCCAGTGGCACCGTGCATGTTTGGTGAAAAACACTCAGGTAAGTCTTGCACATTTCATACAAACAGACCAAAAACAAAACAAAACAAAACAAAACAAAAACACATTATAGCCACGTCCCAGGAGATCTCTCAAAATAAATAGCCTCAAAAATGCCCCTTCCTAATAATGTAGACAAAGTTTTACTTTTCTTAGCTCATGACGGCATCATCAAGAGCAGAGAATAAGCGAGAAGCAGCTGCTTACTGGCCGCCTCTTTTCGACGGAGCTTTACTTTTACTCTCACTTGCTTCTTGCCTCCACAGTCCGAAAGGACCGCTAGCGTCCGCGGCCAAGTCCATGAGCCTATCAGGCAGCCACCACTGGAGGAACAACAGAAAGAGGAAATCTAGAACCGCCACAAAGGCAAAGATGGAGCCAGCCACCGGACCGCAGTGAGTCCTAAGCCTCCGAAGGCGTCGATCAAGGGGAAGCACCTCCTCGCCGCATACTCTGTCATACACCTGAGAGAGAAAACATTTTTTACTGAATCCGTGAGGATTGCTTTTGGGGAAGAAAATCTTCCACCATGACGAGGGAGATGGGGGTTGCTGAAAGCAGCAGGACGCTTTCGTCCGAGCGAAAGTAACATGCAGCCATCGTAAGAGGCGCCGTGTGCACGAACATCGCCTCATGCAAAAGCCACACCGAAGTGAAGGTACCTTCACAAAGTGAAACCAGAATGCGGTGTTGTGTGCGCTTGTATCAAGGCAATTGCTTCATTTCGTATCACACAAAAATAAGATGCATAAATTGCTTCTGTTCATAGTTTATTTCAACAATAGAGCGTTGATAAATAGTTTTGCGATCAAAAGCCCTTTTGTGGTGTTATGTTATTTTTTCAGAAAAGGAAAGTCTTTTTAGATGTTTGAGATGTCACCAAAGCAAAAAAATAGTGGTGCCATATTTTAAATTACCCTTGAAATGAAATACATGCTTCTACAAAAAGGTCCATTTTACTTAATTTCTCACCTTGAATGGTGGTAATTGTCACACAACAGTGCACGTTTGTGTTTACCTGCAGAAATCACAGTGCAAAGGTACGCGTTCTGCTCAACCCACCTTTTCAGTCCTCTCTGCGACGTTTCTCCAGGTGTACAGGTTCCGCACCCTTGCGTGAACGGAGGCGGGCGTGGAGACGGAGCCAGAACGCTGCCGCGCGATGACTGTTTCCAGCCCAGCACACAGCGACTGCACAGTTGGCTCACAAAGCGTGATCAAGTCCTCGGGTAGCACCTCGGGAATCCCACCCACACGAGTGCTGACAACCTTTGAGGAAGTAAAACATATATATGTGTCTCTCTCTCTCTCTCTCTCTCTCTCTCTCTCTCTCCATTTTACGTTTATTTGGGTGGTATTTGATTTTCATATTTGATTATGTCACACATTACAGTGGGGAAACCGTGTCATAAATACAAATTTGAGAAGAGTGCAAATACTTTTTCACGGAACTGTGTATAGGGTGAAGGAATGCGGCGCACCTGCAGTCCACAACTAGCTCCCTCCACGATGGCCATGCAGAAAGCTTCAGTGAGTGAGGTGTTGAGGAAGATGTGACCCTGCACCAGAACTCCTCTGACATCTTTGTGCTCCAGAGGCCCCAACAGGCGCACCCTGCGGTTATTGCAATTCAGTCAAACATATAAACACTCAAAACATGTTATGAATAGCAGGACCGCTGCCAAGGGTTGATGTGCTATTTAGGACAAAACTATTTGGACACATGGCCATTGCGCTTAAAAAGGAAGTGAAAACAGAAATATGGAGTTGATGTAGGTGGGATTTTTTTTTCTCCCATTTATAGGATGAGGAGTTGCTGTTGGCAACCTGGGAGAGGGCCTGCATCGCCACGTTAGTTCCTCTCAGAGTAAGGTTGCAGACTTTTTTTTTTTTTTTTTAACTAGGAGCACAGTGGACCCTAAAACTGAAATTTTAGGACCGCAAGAAGAAAATTTCAGAGCACACGCTGTAAGTTTATGACATTAAAAAGTACATATTAAATGCATTCATCGAGTTACTTTGAGTGGTCTTTTGTCTATGACAAAAGATGGAGACCTGTGATAAAGTCAATCTGAATGTTTGAAAAATGACAACCGGTCAAGCAGGAAAAGCTGGCAAATGTGCATCAAGAACATCTAAAAGTACCTGTCATGTAGCTGGTATTTCTCTCTCACTTCCTCCAGCACAAGTCTCTTTGGCCCCTCTCCGCCAATGAGGAAATGCAGATCTGGATGTTTGAGGCAGAGCTCTGGGATGATTCCACTTAGAAGATCAATGCCTGACAAGTTGGAAGCTTCAGGTGAAGTTTCATCTTTCAATGAGAAACAAAGACCACCAAGCTCATACCTTTGCGGTAGACAAGGCGACTGATCACGACGATGGTGATCCTGTCGTTGTTGCGCTGAGACGGGTCAGGCGTGAAGTCGCCGTGCTCGACCGCGTTGGGAATGACGGACACGATCTCTGGATCAAGCGCGGCGCGCAGCACAGTGTTCTCTTTGCTGGTGTAGGAAACGCACACGATGTGGTTGGTATCGCACAGTGACACCGTCAAGAGCTTGTTGGTCAGTACGGAGCTCACGTCAGCAAAGCCAAAGAGTGAGTGGTCAGTGAACACCTGTGAAATCATATATAGATTGTTCAGATAAGTCTAATTTCATATCTTGTCTAGTTCAGTCAAGCTAGATGTGAACCGAATAGCTCAATTATTTGTTGTAAGGTTGAATTCATGACACAGTGGTTGTATTTAATTTTTTTTGCAGTAACATCACTGCAAAAAAATGAATAAAAATCTCACATCTTAAAAAAATCTCCCAAGTCATATCACTCATATCTCAAGGCAACACTGTATAAACCGAAACAGGATATACTGCAATAACTGAGAGCCTTCCTTTTCCTGGGTTACAGCGTATTTTTATGCCGTCGCACACACAAGTTCATTTCATCGCCTTCACCATAATGGAGGTACCATCGTAAACTGAGGAACACTAAAAAGGAACGACTATAAGACATGCAGTGTGAATCCATCTTCAGGACCACATACCGTGTTCAGGCCCATGGTTTTTGCATGGAACAAAGCATCGTGAGCCATAGCAGAGAACGAGCTGTGCGAATGCACCACGGTGATGCGCTCCCTGACAAACACACAGCGCAGGAGTGGCATGCTGTGGAAGAAGGTGGTGGTGGTGGACTGGTTGTACATCACCTGCAGAGGCAGGTAGTAGACCTTAAGGCCATTGGTCAGGTACCTGACGCCCTTCCTGTGGCCGTAGGCGTGCGTGACTACCACCACCTTGTGTCCCTTCTCGATCAGACATTGGGACAAGAGGTAAATGTGACTCTCCACTCCTCCCATGTTCGGGTAGAAGAAGTCAGAGACCATGCAGATGCTGTGCTTCCTCCCGGCAGTTTTGATGGTCTCTGCTGTGGGTCCAGATACTGCCTGGGTTGCATGACTGAAAGCTGCTGCCCTTCTTCTGTTGCCCATTGTACTTGTATGGCAAGAAACGTCAGCTGTTTTGACAACCAGAAATATCCTTTCATTAACGTTCACATTTTACAGTCGAGAGATATTAGTTTGAACATGAGCAATTAGCTAACTATTTAACCGAAAAGCTGACGTTTTACTTGAGTCGATCAAACTTGCCTTACCGTTTTGTCTTGTTTATTCTTAACAATCGACGGGTATCTCCCTCCGTGGTGTACATTTTCGTTCGCATTTAGCCGCCTGGCGCACGCTGGTCCACCGCCCGTGTCACTTCCGGGTCCAGATGTCACGTGAACGCGTTTCTGCCTGCGGACTAGTGACACCTATTGTTATATATTAGTCAATGCAATTACTCTGTCGTTTTGAAAATTTGATGAGGAATTGAAAAATGGTGCCAACAGAGCCCCAAACAACCTCCAAATAAATTAAAGATTAATTCCAAGGTGAAGGTACATCAGTGTCAGATCACAGCATTTTTTTTTTTTTTTTTGTCGTTTGGGCTAATTTGACTTCATGGGAGATGAAACATGATGACCAAAAACACACAGCTAAAAACACCCAAGGTTGGCTAAGAGCAAAACGAAGATCTATTCTGAAATGGCCTCCAATCTAGAGAAAGCACCCTGCAAAGCCAACAACTTTGTTGACGTATACAATACATTTGGACACAAATCTCCACAGGGTTAAGTTTCTCTTTTGACTTGTGTTGTTCGAATAAAGTAGCAAGACTATTGTTGTCAAAAGCAGGGAATAAATATAGTCAAAATAAATGCTAAGTCAAAACCTGAATATCTGCTTTAGTACGGTCAAAAGATATTCATAGTTTACTTCCTACCGCCGGTTAAATCTACTGTCCCGTAAATCGCAGATTCCATCCTATGGCACCCCCGCCCCCATCCAAACACACCCAGCCTCCATCGGTCACTCCAGAGAAAGGAAAACAGGGAGGAGGGATCACCAGGATCAGGGATCGCTTATCCGCCACGTCCGTGTCAAGCCAAACGCGCGATTTATTCCGATAACAAGCCACCATCTAACACAGGGAGCTCGCCAAGGGGACGTTTTGCTTGTACTGGATATAGTGAGGACGGCATGGGCGGACACACGGCGTTTGTGCTCTTACTTGCGGCGACCTTGACGCTCTCATCCGAGGTGAGTCGGTGTCGAAACGGAGGAAGCCCACCACCACAGTCATCATCCCCACCACACCAGCCTGCGGCCGAGTATCAGCGATCCTTTTTCGGGCTGCTCGTCTGCAGGTTTTGGTGCCATTCTCTTTTCGAAATCGAGAGGAAAATACGGTCCTATATCATACTTTGACCACAACAGTATCGTTGCATATTAAGGTTAAAGTCAACCAAGCCCTTGTAAAATTTTACCCACAATTAGGTTCCTTACATGACTGTTAATACAGTGTGTGATGATGCGCAATCTGCAGCGATGTGAAGCACGCTCTTTTTCCGCATAGATTAGCATCTGTTAAAATTGCAGTGCGAACAAGGCCCAAAGCCCAAATACGCTGAAATTGTTTATTAAAAGGTCACGTATCGATTTCATGGGAAAAAGTGATTGTTCGCTCTCAAATTTGTTTTGGCCTTTCAACGGCCAGCAATCTTCGCGTGGAAAATGACGTTTATGAAGCGAACGCTTGTTAGCATTTTTGGCTAATTGTTGCATCAGGCAAAGGCCACAAGTCGCGTCTGACAAAAACAAAAGAAAAACCTATCGATGTGGTAAAAACTGTCCCTGCCACATGAAGTCCGTAATTACCACGTATTTCATAGCACTATTTTGCACCCCCTGTCAGAAGCCATTTGAGCTAATTTAGAACGATGTGCAGTTGTGACACAAGCAAGATGGCGCCTTACGTTTGCGGCTTTTTGGCTTCGGCTCAGGGAATCAAACACACTATTGCGGTGCTCCTGAAAACACACGGACGAGCCTACACTGCAATCTACGATGTCTACAAATGTTACACATTTACCACATTTTTAAAAGATATTTTATTATGAATAATAGGTATCATGTTTTTTGTACGACAGATTTTTCGTGCAACCTTGTCATGACAGCTGTATCAAAACCTTAGTCTAATTTCAGATTTTTAATTTCACAATCTCTTCATTATTATTGTTGTTGTAATTTGTAAAGGTTTATAGAACTGCATTGCATCATACGAACAGACTTTTCATTTTTCGGATACAGTATCTACTTTGCGAAAGAGTCAACAAAGGTTCTCATTGTGATGCAGTGCAGCAAAACGCTGTTGTAAGATTTGGAAAATCCTGACGTGCGTACCAGGCCTTATTTAAAAGTTAGAACATTTAATACATTTCTGAGCTTACCATTTTTTCCCTGTCACATCCAGAAGTTTCTTGCCATTGTGTCGCTTCATCTAAATGGAAACGGCCGGTCTCCTCTGCCATACAACAGGAAAGAGAAGTTGAAATTTAGAATCAGAATCAATTTCTATGTCATTAGTGAACATACCATATGGGAAAACAGTTGCAAGAGCTCAGAAACATATGGACAACATAAACCAAACAATAACAATAAAATGCAGATGGGGATAAACATAAAAAAATGCAAGAAAGAGTGCCAGATTTTTAGCAGAGTAAATTTGTTTTGAGTTGCTCAGGTTGCGCCGTGAGTCCACCGTTAATTTCAGACCCTGTGTCAGCGTGATGCACCAAAAATCCTACACTGTACTTAGACAGAGAGAAAAGCCCAGCATGATATGTATCATTCAAATTATATTGGAGTTACTTCCACATTCTCTCCCATCTACCGTCTATGTAGGAATTAAAGTAGAAATACGGTGATGAAAAAAACCACTATAAATATAACATATTCTGGCCTGTGACGTTTGCTTAGCTTTGTCCATTGAGGGATTAAAGGGAGAAAATGTAGTATATCTCTGGGATTATGCTTAAAGCTTATAGTTCTGACTTAAATGCACAATGTTCCAGCGCAATGTTGTCTTTATCCTTACCTTTTAATCGCCTTTCTTCTTTGCACAGATGCCAATTTGATGACATGTCATTTCCATTGAGGATGAGGAAAACTGCTGCTCAGTTTTCTGTGGCACCTGTTATGATTTCTTATTGTAAAATATGATTGTGAAGTCTCAAAACTCAAACAGCACCACAGAAGGGTGCCAATGATTGTGATTTTGAGAATATTGCTGTCTGGACTTGCTCAACTTGGCTAGCTAGCCGTTTGTGCTTCCTTAGACTGCAAACTAGTTCAGCCTCTGCTTGCTGTGCACTACCTATGGTTTCAAGTCATGATTAGCGGTAACCAAGAACCAATTCCACGCAATCAACTGAATTCTTAAATAATGGAGTAATCAATAACGATGGACCTCCTTCCTGCATGAGGCTGAATAGTGTTCCCCTCTGTGTTCATCCAGGTACCTACTGATGACTCAGAAGGTTTGATGACTGAGCCGCAGGTGGCCATGTTCTGTGGCAAACTCAACATGCACATCAATGTGCAGACTGGCAACTGGGAGCCAGACCCTTCAGGCTCCAAGAGCTGCATCAGCACTAAAGAGGGCATCCTGAATTACTGCCAAGAGGTGGGGCGCAGTGGAAAAAAACGGTTAAGAAGATGCAAAGGCAAGAAATGTTGTTTTGAAAAAAAAAAGGATGTTTTCTCCAGGTGTATCCAGAACTTCAGATCACTAATGTCGTGGAGGCCAACCAGCCCGTCAGCATCCAAAACTGGTGCAAAACAGGCCGCAAGCAGTGCCGCAGTCACAATTACATCGTGGTGCCCTACCGCTGCTTGGGTACGCCCCCTCAACACTGCAAGTGTATGCAAACGTGGATGTTTAATATACCCCTAAATTTTTTTGAAAATGTGTTTTCAGTCGGGGAGTTCGTGAGTGATGCCTTGCTGGTTCCTGACAAGTGTAAGTTCTTGCACAAGGAGTATATGGACCAGTGTGAGAGCCATCTGCACTGGCACGCTGTGGCCAAAGAGGTGCGTCATTTTTGAACCCCCTGTGGTGAATCTTATGCTCTATCGCTTTTGCCATCTGGTTGCTCTTAAGATGCCGATTCAAAATATATATATATTTTTTTATTCAATTATAGGATCTGAAAAGCCATCATGAATATGAATTTGATGTTAATCAGGATTCCCGGGGTTCCTTAAAGTGTTGTGAGGCAATAAATCTATGAATCTAAAAAAAACGAGGCCTTAATTGCTCTCATTTCCTGAAAAAGTGCTAACACATGAGAAGCGTGATTTTTACAACTGTCAATAGTCTCAGATGTCAAAATATATTAACATTCTTAAAAAAAATAATTGATTGACTCTTGTGGTAATATCTCGCACTGTGGTTTAAATCGTTTTAACGTTCCCACTCACGCTTTCTGCCATGTTGTTGCGTGGAAAGCAATTTTGCAAACACTCACGATCGCTTCGAATGATCCGGTTGCGGGATGCTGCGTGAAAGCGCATGAAGTTCAGCCAATATTCCGCTTTATTATGTTCTGTCACCAATTGCCATTACTAAGAACTTCCCCATTCCTACGTTCTTATCACGCCACGTCACAATTTTGTCATTTTTCATTTATCAGTCCTGCATAGACCGTGCCGCCAATCTCCATGACTACGGGTTGCTGATGCCGTGCGGCATTGACCTTTACCGCGGGGTGGAGTTTGTGTGCTGCCCAATCGAAGCCGAGCAGGAGTCCGATAGCGCAGGGCTCGATGGGGAAGAGTCGGACGTCTGGTGGGGCGGAGCTGAGCCTGAGAATAATGATAACAGGTATCCGTCTTTTGTTTTAGGTTGTGCACGACAAAGGCAAATGAATTGACGCATTTATTCAATTGTATAGAGCATTTTTAGACAGCCTGGACATGATGTGCAGTGCCCCAAATATTTGAACGCTGTTCCTCCCCAGCATGACGCAGCAGACCGACACGGAGCCGGCTACAGCTGAGGAGGAGGAGGATGAGGAAGATGATGAAGAGGCTGACACTTTTGAAAGGGATGAGAATGACGATGAAGAAATTGACGAGGAGGAGGTGGAGGAGGAGGAAGACGAGGACATGACCAACGAGCGGGATAGCGACGAGCGCAGTGCTCACGTCGCCATGACAACCACCACCACCACTGAATCCATCGAGGAGGTCGTTCGAGGTAACAAACGGTTATCTTGTTTTTAAGTCATATTTGTGTTCATTTCTGAGAACTGTATTCTATATATGCTGTATTTATTTTGTTTGTTTGTTTTTGTGTCGCCATCTCTGTGTGTGCGCGCGCGCGCCTCAGCCGCTTGTTGGGCACGCGCCGAGTCAGGCCCGTGTCACGATACGCTGGAGCGCTGGTACTTCATGCCTGAAAAGGCCCGCTGCGCCCCCTTCTTGTTTGGGGGTTGCGGGGGCAACAGGAATAACTTTGATTCCGAGGAATACTGCCTCGCTGTCTGCAGCAGCTCGTGTAAGTCGCAGGACGGAAAAGCGACCCAAACTGGGGTTGTCGTCATCTCTCCGAAGCCTGACTGCTCTGATTCTCTTTCTTGAGTACTCACATTTTCCTTTCAGTCTTGACCAATCTGAGGACTGGCAGGGGGGGATGACATTTGGATTTAATGCTTTCAGTAACAGGTTTCTGGAAGAGGTTTAATTTGACTTCAAGAGCACTAAAAAGGCTTAATGTGTCAAAATATCCCGTAGAAACTTTGACAGAGCTTGAAATTTCTCCATATTGATTTGCACTCATTTTATTTGTGCAGCCTACATCAGATCTGATTCAAAACGCTATGAATGGAAAAAAAGAAACAGTCATTATCTTCTGCTGCTAATTTAATTGAAATGTCAATGAATATTGCCAAGAAGTATTTTATTGTTATGAATTCATGATAGTTAGTCCCAGTTTAATTTCTTTTTTTATTTGATGGAATCATGTATTTCACAAATCATCTTCTATTTTGTATTTAGTTTTTTTTTAATTATTCATTTTGTTACATCCATTTTAGTCCTAAAAATAATCTAGACTCATTGGTTCATCATAATGACAGATCAAACAAAACTCACTCTTGTCATTTAAAAAAAAAAAAAAAAACGTCCTCCTTGGCACAGTTAAAAACTGTCGGCGAGACGTCCAGTACCGCAGCTCACTATTTGTACAACACTCACGCTAATCTGATCATGACCTCACGCGGGGGCTCATCTCATTTGTCTTCTTGTCTTCTAAGCGGTCAGTCACACCAGCTGATACTTAACCCCAGCATGTGAACCAGCAAGCGCTTAAAAGATGGAACAAATTGCCGCACGTGTTTGCATGTCTTGCTGCAGCAGTGCCTCGACTTAAGATGTTTTCATCGTCCTTGTCTCAAGCCTTGACTCTTGCACCTGTTTGTGTGTGTGTGAGGGTGTGGAGGCAGGGGTCATTTGAGTGTGATGTGAGTGAATCAGCCTCCGTCTTTATCATGACTCGACACTTCTCATCTTATCTCCAGGCTCCTACGTCCCACGTGAACACATTTCGCACTGGGACACTCATCGCCCTTCATTCCCTCACAACATTGTGTTGTCTTGTTTACTGGTGTGTGTATGTGCGACGTCCTTTGTTTCTAACCTGTTAGCGTATTTCCTTGACTCGTGGCCTCCTCTAAGAGACAGCAGTTCATAAGAGGAATGTGAGCCTCATTTTAAACCTTTTCTTTTCAGTAAAAAAAAAAAAAAAAAATCAATAATAATGATATCATGCCATGAGTATGCTATAATAAACCACGCCTATAGTATAGGTCGGTTTCCGCAAAATTCTGGAGGAACTCCCACCCGATTTTTGGAGTTCACATACGTGAACATGACTTGATGTAAAATTTTAATAGGAAGAATGCACCCGCAACATTTGGTGAGGGGTTTTTTTTTTCAAATTTAATTTAATTCAATAATTTTTTTTTTTTAATGTGGGAAAGCCCTCAAAACCGTGATTTACCACTTTCAAGCGTGCGCTGCATATTCTGGGCCTAATTATTATAACATAAACAGAAATTCATGCCTAGTTATTTGCATTTGAAGTAAAAACTTCCAGCCACTGAGGAAATACAGTGTTCGTTTTTTTTTTGTTTGTTTGTTTTAACAGTGATTGTTTTAAATGTCCACGTCCCTGTGTTCTCCAGGCATGACAACCACTCTGACAATTTTTCCTCTCAACTTTTCCATCAACTCCACTTATAGTTCGTTCTGTATTTGATCGCTGCTACCGTTGTCCTTCCTCGTCCTTCCAGTGCCCACTCTGGCGCCGAGCCCCCCAGACGCCGTGGACCAATACCTCGAGTCCCCCGGCGATGACAACGAGCACGGCGACTTCCAGAGGGCGAAGGAAAGCCTGGAGGCCAAGCACAGGGAAAAGTTGTCCCAGGTAGGCGATGTGATGCTTTCGACTGCGCCCTTGTCGTGCACTTCGTGTGCACGGAATGACGGGTCTTGATCCTCAGGTGATGAAGGAATGGGAGGAGGCTGAGAGGAAGGCCAAGAATCTCCCACGTGCTGACAAGAAAGCTGTCATTCAGGTAAATGTGCAAGGATGAGAGAGCCATTGAAATACATTAGCTGGGGGAGGGGGCAATCGTGGCTCAAATTGAGGCCAAGGTGGGACCATTCTGATCATTGGCTCATGTGCGTGTGCCGTGCCCCTTGCTGGCTCAAATACGCCATTTTTGTTTTTTGTCATGTGTGACATGTATTTTATTGTTCTTTTGCATTTTATTTTTCTCCAAGCACATATTAAATATAAAATACACATACAGGAAACCCTCATTGATATTCCATTTAATATAACGAAATTACAAGTGTGTACAGGTAAACAGCAATTTTAAACCAACTTGAAGATGAATGTGGTCTGATTGAAAAGCCATTGAACTTGTGACAAGCCATTTCATTGACTCATTTCACAGAGGTAGATTTACAGTAGGCCTCCTAGATTTCATTTGAGTAACATTTCCACATGTGCTCCAGTGCAGTGTTCACCTCAAAAATTAAGATGACAGTAAGGCTATAATCACACTGCAGGGCGTGATTCCCAATTCAACTTTTTCTTTTTTCTTCACATTACAAAAATAATTTGACTTTTAATGTGAACGCAATGCCTCCGTGATGTGACATGCATGCGCCCAAAGCGCGACGTCGGGTGACGTGCACCCCACCCCCCAAAAAAATGACGCTACCCGCCACAGCGTTTAACGCAAGTGAATCTGGTGCAGTAGGTCCTTTTGGAACACTTCGCGATTATACCTACACAAAGTGAACAGAGACTTTTTTTTTTTTTTTTTTTTTTTTTTTTTGGTACCGCTCTCTCGCGAGATTCTTAGAATGACGTTTCCGCATGTGCGTGCACTCGCAGCATTTCCAGGAGAAGGTGGAGGCCCTCGAGCAGGAGGCCGCCGGAGAGAGGCAACAGCTGGTGGAAACCCACATGGCCCGCGTGGAGGCTCTGCTCAACAGCCGCCGACGCATGGCCCTGGAAAACTACCTCAGTGCACTGCAGGCCGACCCTCCACGGGTAATGCAATCAAGTATTTCAAAAGAGTCCTTCGGGGTAATAATATTGCCACTGTTAATATTCCCCTCACCAGCCTCGTCAGGTGTTGAGTCTATTGAAGAAATACGTTCGGGCCGAGCAGAAGGACCGCCAGCACACAGTCAAACATTACGAGCACGTCCGAACCGTCGACCCGAAGAAGGCGGCGCAGATTCGACCTCAGGTACGCCACGTGACACGCTCTCGACAAGTAAATGACACGTGAGCATCTAAAAATTAATCGGCAGTGGGAAGAGTCGTGCAAAATTTGACTCGAGAGTACTGTTACTTGAGGATAAGAGGACTCAAGTAAGAACAAAAACAAAAAAAATCCGAAACTAACACTCGCAAAACAGCCCAGTAGGCTCCCCAGACAGAGATTACATTCAAGAAAAATATGCAACGTGTTTTCTCATCTTCCAAGTGGAAATCTTGTCGGCTGAAATGTGAACATTTTTTGGCTGATGCAGACGACTTCCTGTCTCCTTCCTGCAGGTTTTGACCCACCTGCGCGTGATTGATGAAAGGATGAACCAGTCGCTGGGTTTGCTCTACAAGGTGCCCAACGTGGCCGACGAAATCCACAGCCAAGTCTGTAAGTTATCAAGACTTCCTTTCTTCAATACAGGTGTAGATTATGTCTCCTCAGTGATCAATATTTTTGTGGTGGAGAATTCGACATAAGGAATCGTGTCAAAATTGATTTTGCACAATCCCAATGCAAAATATACATGCTTGGTGCAGGGATTATTTTTATCCACTTGGGGTTGCCATCCTCAAGATCTCAAGGTGCGCTTATTACAGTGCAGTCATTAAAAGTGCACCGGGCACGATTCGTTTTCAGCCCCACGTCACCTATTCACGCTTTTCTGCTGGTGGCTTGTGACTTTTGCACAGGGTAACATTGTTTTATATCCGGCGTTGATTCTGTCTTTCGTTCCACTAGCCGTCATTGTTCAGCGAGTTCAGTCCGAGCTTTCTCACCAAGTGTCTTCCTTGCAGAGCGACAACAGGGTGAGTCGGGTCGCAGCCAGCCGCTCTTCGGCACGTGCTGATTAAATACTGGATCACACCGCGAACCGGCTCGGCACACACGAACAGACGTTAACAGATCTTCTGTCTCCGTAATCAGGTGGATGGCAGGATGAGTTACGGCAACGACGCCCTCATGCCCGACCAGGCGTACAGCTCGGCCCCGATGGATCCCGGCCTCGACAGGCTGGGCTTCATCCACCCCGAGAGCTTCAACCAGCCCAACACTGAGAACCACGGTAACACACACACACACTTTCCGTGCATACAGTACATTCACTGACTTGGAGTAGGATCTAATGACAGATGGACACTTGCATTTCTTCACAGTGGAGCCAGTTGATGCCCGCCCACTTCCAGATAGAGGACTACCCACACGGCCTGGTATGTGCTCATCGTCACATCGCCTTTACAAAGATAATCATGCTCACTTTGGATTGATTGACAAGGCAGTCTATGTATTCCTTTAATAATTGTCAAACATGAATTCTTTGATGCTGGTTAACTTGCAAGTACCGTATTTTCCGTACTATAAGACGCACCTGAAAGCATTCAATTTTCTCAAAAGCCGACAGTGCGCCTTATAATCCGATGCGTCTTATATATGGATCAATATTCTGATTTCTTGGACGTAGTATTTTAAATGTTCTGTAAAGCGCTTTGTTACAGCTGCAGCAGTTGTGAAAGCGCTCTACAAATAAAGTATTGTATTGTACCCTCTTGAGCGTAGCTCCACCTACTGGATGGATAACGCCACCACAGCCACTATTGTAGCTTCTATTCTATGCGCCTTATAATGCGGTGTGCCCTATATATGAAAACAGTTTCAAAATAGGCCATTCATTGAAGGTGCGCCTTATAGTCCGAAGCGCCTTATAGTGTGGAAAACACGGTAATTTGATCTGCAAAAATGGCATTTATTTTTTCTCATTTCCACGAGAACAAAATATTAGGAACACATATCAGTGTGACGCCGTGTGTATCATCGTCTTTGTTAAAAGGCTGAATCGTTTGTCGTGCATCTTTTTAGAATGTTTGGGCATGCTTTCTGTTTTGTTTTGTTTTTTTAAGTGTCTGCCCTGAAGCCAGAAGAGATGCCCCAAGTGCATCTGGAGACTGATGAGAGACAAAGTGCTGGTTATGAAGTCCACCATCAAAAATTGGTAATGACAACCACCGAGACGGATGTCATTTTGACTGTTGGGTGCTTGGGGTTCCGCCACTTAGTCGTTTTCACCCCTGCTGTATTGCGGATTATTAGCGCGTTCAAGTAAATTTACAGTGTGTTGTAATACATTTATTGATTTATTTTAATCCCTGGCAATGAATGGGCCTCACTGCACTTGACACCTTTTTATTGACAGGTCTTTTTTGCCGAGGACGTTGGCTCCAACAAAGGCGCCATCATCGGGCTGATGGTGGGAGGCGTTGTCATAGCGACCGTCATCGTCATCACCTTGGTGATGCTGAGGAAGAAGCAATACACTTCTATCCACCATGGCGTCATCGAGGTAAAGGCCCGATTCCAATTTTTCTCTTCCGGCACCGCTGAACAAGTAAAAAAAACAAACAAAAAAAAAAAAAAGATAAGTATTTAAAATGAGGCTTCAGACTTTAAGGGTTTGTTGTTGTGTTTGGCATTTAGGTGGATGCTGCAGTGACGCCCGAGGAGCGTCACCTGGCAAAGATGCAGCAGAACGGCTACGAGAATCCCACCTACAAGTTCTTTGAGCAGATCCACAACTAAAAAGAGCCCCCCCCTCCCCGACCCACAGGTGCTGTTCCACTCTCTGCTCCCATTTGACATTTGAAAAACCGCGCTCATTTTAAAAGCCAGAGATTTTTTTTTTGTTTGTTTGTTTGGGCCAAAGGAAGCAGACATGGAACAAAGCCTTGTGAACCCTCTCAATTGCACAAAGTAACACTAACAGAGTGAGACAAGGGTACCCTGTGTCACCTGCACATTTAAGCCAATCACGCAGTGTTTGTACTCTATGAACTTGTCAACTGGCCATATATATATATATATATATATATATATATATATATATGAATATGAATATTATTATCATCGCTGCACTGTGCTACCCAGCCATTTAAACCATGCAGCCGAAAACATTTCAGGTTTGTTTCAAGAAGGAATATTTTCATTTTTTGTGTGTAATATATGAAGGAGATTAGCTGTATGTCTCTGTAGTGCATGGCCATATCGACGGATGCAATCCAACTAGGTCCTACTCGTTGACTTTTTAGATATTTTAGCGGGATTGTACATTTCATGGTGTCTTCTTTGTGCTCTTGTGCGATATGAAGAAGAACAAAAAAAAAAATAGTCCGAAAGCTTTGACTTTTTTTTTTTTTTTTTTTTAAACGCCCCTCTCCATGCTTCACTGTTGTTAGCTGCATGGGCAAAAATAAATAAAATAACAAAACAAACTCAAATACTATATGTAATATATGCAGTGTAATAGTATCCGAAAGGAAGATGATTGTGTTACAGTTTGCGTTTTATGCACTCTCTTTGTCATTTTGGAGAACATCTGATTCTCACCAAGTACAGTGGAACCTCCCAAGTGGAACAAACTTTATGGGAATGAAAAGGATGATCAGTGTGTTTTGCTTTGTCATCACATTTTTTGTGTGAAGGATACGAGTGATGGCAAAGAGGAAAAGTGGAGGAAAGGGACTGTCTGTTCAATAACAGTAAATACACTAAAGTCTTTTCTTCTTCGGATGAAGTATTTTTGTTTTTATCAATTTTATTATACATCCGTTATGCTCTCATTGCACTTCTACTACAAGTTTGATACTGAACCAGATGAATTCATGTTACATTATATCCAATCGGAAAATGGCTTTGGAATTAGAAAAGCTCGGAATTCAACCTGCGTGAATGTGTTTCCCTTCACGGGGTTCCACTGTATTAGCCCTCAATGCAGACTTTACGGTTAAAAATACATATTGGAACTTTCAACAGAACCACTTAGAGTGGAGCTTGAGGCTAATTTCCAAATCATTCCTGTCGAATCATTCCGTAATTGATTGTAAATCGGATGTTTGGGCAAACTAAGCCTGTTTTCCGTGACTGCCGCCCCCATCCAGCTTTAATAGTGACTGGTTAATATTTGGTATATATAAGATCCCCCCACCCCACTTTTTTTTAATGCTACCCCTTCTTGATACCGTCTCGCTGTTTGTTTTTTCAATGCACCACCGTGTCTCGTCCATCATGTGGTAGGTCTGTAGTCATCATTATCCACATCTTGTCCATTCAACCGATCCCTCCCTAACATGAACATATCATATCCCAAACATTGACATGTGAACCGAAGCTCTTGTTCAGGTGAATGTTTCAAAAATAAGTATGTGTTTTGTAGTGACACGAACCATTTGCTTAACAGTTTCTACTGCCACCATACCATGAATAAAATTTTGAATGTACATATACCATTGCCCGACTTTGATTGCTGAAAGTGAGCGTTAGCGCAGATGGTTGTTCGTCTCTGTGTGCCCTGCGATTGGCTGGCAACCGGTTCAGGGTGTCGCCCTGCGTACTGCACGAAGACGGCTGGGACAGGCTCCAGCACCCTCCGTGACCCTTGTGAGGATAAAGCGAATTGGAAAATGGATTGATGGATATTCCTAACACTGATTCTTTGTCTATCCTTTTCTTGACTGGTTATTGTTTCGGTCATGTGTCATGGAGCAAAGGACGGGGCAAAACCCTGGACTGGTCTGGACTTTCGGCAAGGTGGGAGAAAGCCGACGTGAGTGTCAAGCCTTAGAGCTGTGAGGCAGATGCCGGTCTTCTCCTATGCTGCATCATCGTCTCATTCAAGTCATATTTGACCTTAAGAACTGAAATGTCAACCGTTTGCAAAAAGCAACTCAGTAAATAAAACAGAAAAATTGTTTGCCACTTTATTCCCCTTATGGACAAAAAAACAGGGTCCAAAATTGAAGGGAACATAGACTAAAATAAAAATACAAAAAGGTTCTTCTATAAAAGGAAAATATGAAAATACACGGGCCGTGGCACGGCTATCAAAAACATGAAACGTGTGTGTCGGTGTACCGTATTTTTCGGACTACAAGTTACACTTTTTTCTTAGTTTGGCTGGTCCTGCAACTACTCTGGTGCATCTTAATGTAAATTCTTGTGGATGCTGCATTCCAAACTAGCAAACGTGCTGGGGAGACGGTCCCTTTATTTGTTTGACAAAACAGCACACGGTAATTGCCATGGCTACTTCTAACTCTTGGCGCTTGGCAAATACTTTTGGTGCATTACCGCCTCTTTCTACCAACGAATACAATATTCAATGGTTTATTAGGATTCTGATTTTTTTTTTAAATTCTAATCTGGCATTCACAGTTTTACAGCCAATTCTTGTCTTAATTTGAGTCACCAACAATGTATTTTGAGCTAAAAATAAAATGTTATCTTGGGTGCTTTTTCTGTTTTGGTCTTGTTTTTTGTAAAAAGACCCCCCCCACCCCCAAGTAATGCAACAGTGCTACTTCAAGGTGTGTGTGTGTGTTTTTTGACTGGTCCAATTTAGACCCGGAATGATTTATAGTCCGAAAAACATGGTGTATATGTGTGTGTGTGTGTGTGTGTGTGTGTGTGTGTGTGTTGTATTAGTGTACATATGTACACAATGATCGTCACTACAGACAAGGAAGACATTATTTCAGTCACATTCAAAGCGTTCACGTGTTGCCACGTCTCATTTGGAATCGCTGTCCACCTCTTTCGTGGTTTTGAAAAAAAATGCCGAAATAAAGTGTTCATCCACTCGGCTGTGGCAGCAGGGTTCATTGGGGGAGTTCGAGAGTTCAGGCCTCCCTTCTCCTCCTTCAGCTGTCCTTGTCTAGCGTGGTGGCCAACGTCACTGTGGTGATGGGCTGCCCGATGCCGTGCACCTGCACTCGCGACATCTTCTTCTGCTCGCACTCCGCCACCAGGCTGTTGAGTTCGGCGGCGCTGTATCCGATCAGGGTCCGCAGGTCGCACACAAACTTGTACACGAAGCGCTTGCCCTGCACCTTGCTGATCATGTCGCCGTCGTAGTAATACCTGCAAGAAGAAGCGGTGAGTGAAGATGCTGCTCAATCTTTTTTTGGAGATATTTTCCCAAAACTGGTTCTCAGATTCCAAATTGTTGCACATTGGAGTACACTTGTCCATCTGAACGCACACAGCGTTGAAATACCGTCCAAGAATACCTGAGGGCTCTGCTGAGTTTCTCGTAATTCATCGTGGGCTTGTTCTTCCGCTGGCCCCACTTTTGTGCCACCAGCTCGGGCTGGTTGAGCTTGAACTCGCCCTCCTCGCCCACCCAGGAAATGCAGTCCCTGGCGTCTTTGTCTGTCAGCAGCTCCAGCAGGAACTGCCACAGCTGGATTTGACCGTTGTTGCCTGTCACCAGAGGAGCAGCTCATTCCTTTTATTTGTTTCATGGCCTCCGCGTCGCTTTCAATTCTTCTTTTTTTGCTCTGAGCAATCGATGCATTTTGTGTGTGTGTGTGAGAATGATGCCATCACAAAAGTGGTGACTAAAACAGTTGACATCATTAAGACACACGACAAACTCAGTTGTGATTGGCCTAAATGTGAAACAACTGTCCGCCCTCTGCCCATTCAACAACTTCTTACATCCTAACAACTTCTTAAATAACTAACTCCATTTTACATTTGTATGGCAATTCAGCTATGCCCTTAGCGTTTCAGGAGGTAAATGTTGCTTGCTGAAGAGAAGTACAAGATTAGTATTGTCTGCTCTGTACAATGCTTGTGTGGGGTTGACCCTACCTGTGCGGTTGCCGGGAGAACTGCGCTCCTCTCCGGAAATGCGGGGCGCTCGGGGTCCGCGGTTCTGCTTCAACACTTTAATGGCCGTGGGCGTGCTGACTTGCGCCGGTATTATCTGCACAGCTGGACAGTCACGGATAAGATTGTACGCTTGTCAGAACAAAGCAACAGTGGAATAATTTGCCTCTCTGGTTTGAGGTAAAGTCTTGTCTTACGTTGATCAATGGTGACAGTGGCGTCCCCCCCGGACTGGTCCTGGCTTGCCAAAACATCTGAGATTCAAAACACGAACGTGAGAATTTGTTCGCAGCCAAATGAACGGAAGCATTGAAAATGACTTACATTTGCGTAAGAGTTCCAGGTGGCTCCAAAGGATCTCTCCGTTTGGCACTTTCTGGAGGAACTCTTCTTGGCTGAAGGCGCAAAGGTTTCGACCGGGGATGTGAATGCTCCCTATTTCCATTTCGTCAATGTTGAATTCTTTCATCACCCACACAGCCCAGTGGATCGCCTGGTCGGCCGTCCACAGAACGGGGTCTAAAAAGAGGGGGGGGGGGGGGGGGGGGGGAGGGGGGGTGGCAAACTAAAATTCGGACTTCAGGACTATACCTGCAAAAAGTACCTCGATACTACGGCAAAATAAAAACTGACAAAACAAACCTAAAATTCATGTACATGACCGTATCCATATCTGTATTTATATTGCACTTGATTGAACGGTGTTTGTTTTCTTTTCTTCTTTCTACCCATTATCTTGCTGCTGTAGACTGTAAATTTCCCCAGTGTGGGACAAATAAAGGACATATCATCATCATCATCATGTGTTACTTCTAAATATTAGGCTACCATACTCTTGACTTTGAACATTTTCAAACACTTTGGAACATCTGCACCAACAACATGAAAGAATGTTTAACAGCATGGAACATTTGAGCACAAAAATAACTTTTGTGCTATAAATACATTTCTATTGGACATTTGGCTTTAACCGAAGCAAACGAAAGCTAACAATTTCCTCTTCCGTCTCACAACCTAAGCAGCATGACATTGGCTGCTAAACTCGAAAAGATGTCATCGACCACAGGCAGATGTTAATTGTTTGGCCTTGGGAGAGGCTTGCCTTCCCCAGGGTGCTCTCATTCCTCACCATATGGGATGCCGAGCCGGACTTGCTCCTTGCGGTACCCTTCCAGCGCAGCGGCCCAGCGCGTCACCTGCTCCGAAGTCTCGTCGGACAGGCCGGATCGCTCCACGGCGATGAGCTGTCCCTCGTCCACCAGCGAGCCCTCCTCCCCCGCCGCATCCGGGTCGATCACCACTTCCACTGTCTCGACGGGCTTCACGATCTCCAAGATGTTCAGCTTCTCGTCGCCTGGATTACGGCGCAAAAGTAGAGAATGCAAATTCGGCTCTTCGAGACTTGGAAGATTGCGGTCTCATCCTTACCTGGTTTGGTGATGAGCTGCAGGCTGAGCTGCACCGTGCCATCTGTTTTGACGCCCTGATCAAAGAGGCTGTGATCTGGGTGCAACTACAAACAAGAAAAGAACAGGTGAGCCCTTTCGCAAAAGGCTGATTCGTTGATTGACCGTTAACTACGCCCTTAAATAATCAAGGTTTCAAGAACCACTCCAACTGTCCACCACCCGTAACGATCTTTTCTTTTCCTTTTGCCACCACAGCGGTGGTGATATGAAAAGTGAGATAACCATAGAATCGGAGATCGAACTTGATTGACAGGAGGAAATTGTCTTGCTACCCGGTCCAATATGAACAAGTGAATAACGCAGATTAATTTTGCCACGCAGATGCAACTTGAAAGTTCAGCAACATCACAGAACGGACTGGGTTCAACTCAAGAGGTTCCGCTGTATTAGGCTTCCAATGTTATACACAATACTGAGGCAGCGGTACAACAAAAGTGTATCCTCTCTTTCAGCCACGAGAGCGAGCTTTCTAAAATGACCACTCAAATATGTGGTTTTACCTGAATGTCCTGCAAGCATATTTCAAATGAATCCAGTGATATTTGGAGACGAGGCTCCAACAACTTCTTCAAATTGCCGACTGGCTCGTTGATGTCGATGTCTTGCTGGATCAGATCTGCCGCCATGATGGTCTGTTCCTCCATGCTTCTGGCGAGACAAGACGAGATATTAGAACCGCGAAGCGACGCGACAGGAATGGACGAAGGTTATGGAAAAGAAGTTCAAGTGTCCTCACCCCTCCTCTATGCATGCTTGTTTTTCCCGTTCGTCAATCTCGATCTCTATCATTTCTTCTGATCCACCCTTGGACATTGTCTCTCAAAAGAGTGGCGAGCTGCAGGAAGGGGGACGTTGAAAGGATTTATTTCAAAATTTTGTGAGGTAATTTCACGCCATTGCTCAGTGTTACCTCAGTTTTATTTTAATACCACAACACAACATTCGACACAGTCAATAATAATGAATGATGCCCTAAATGTTTTTAGCCTTGACATGAAACAATGAGAATATTTACAAATAGTTGTTTCCAGCAACACTGACAAAGCGGGTGAATCTCCAAGGGAGGTGAATGCACACCTTCCTTCCAAATTATTTTGTACTCTTCTCCTGAGGGCTGCCTTTGTCATGAATGCCCCTCTGAAGCTACGGAAGCCCTCTGTGGGCGATGGCTTGTGCTGTGAGATGAAACTATAAAAAATGACACGGACATTTTTATTGGAACATCTGAACCCGGGCCACACGAAAACCAGTTCAAGAGCATCCGCTCTTGTTTTGTGAATGTGATTAGTTGAGTTTAAACACTGCTACATCCCCAGTCTTCAAAGGATGTGCACAGCACATTTGTGCGACCAAATTATTTTTGTTATGTTTTACTTCCCCTCCAGGGAAGATTTTCAGTGGGAGCAGGGGTGTGATATAGGTCATATTAGTATTGGACAAAGTTTTTAAGTGATTTATCTTGGTCCCATTTTTATGTGTATAAAATATATATATAGATCATTTGAAGAGGGCTGTGTAGGCTTTTTACATCCAAAGGTATCACTTGTTTATCCACCCGTGTCATTTTGAAAATAGTCATATGAGTATTTCATTTATTGGGAGCTGTTATTCAAAAGGTCATCATTGTTTCAAAGAAAAAAATGTTCTGAAATGACATTTTTTATACTCATAAGGCAAAAATATAGTCTTTACCGTTGCTGTCCAAAAATAAAACTTCATGTTTTGCAACATGCTTTTTGAAGATGCTGATCATTTTTAGATACATAGGAATTTCTCTAATTAGCCAATGTGCCTCTTCCATGAAAATGAACAAAAACGCATTTTAAGTTTTTGAAAAGTTGGTTGTTTTGACCCTTTTACAAATGGTCCTGATACTCAAACTGTTTTTCCCCATTAATGCCAGTAAAGACTGCCTCATGTTGTTGTTGCAAGACACCGGCAGAACCTGAGATCCAAAGTGCCAGGATATGGCAGACATCTTTCATTTCGACAAAAGCGATAAAATAGATTAGTGTTATCTCTGAGGTATGTATAATTGTGTGCAAGTATAAGAACAATCACATGTCTTTAACGTAATGAATGTATAAATACGTGAGTGTAATGGGTTTAATGAGTAGTTCGGATCATCTATGCACTTGTATCAATCAGTATTCAGTGGAGGTTGAAGGGCAATAAATGTAAATTGTACAACTGACATGGTTTCTATGAAGTTTGTCTCCATCATTGTTAGGGATGTCTTGATAACATTTTTTGGGACCGGAGTCTGAGGGCAAGTCACTTGATTTTGAGAATCTGCTGATACAGAGTTTTGATCAATCCCGCTGCAATAAAATGCAATGAAGAACAAAAACAAGACCACGTCCAAATTGTCTAAACTATCACATTTATTTTGTTTCTTTTGAACTAAGGAACCCCAAGATGATACATTTCCAGATTCCTGTAAATCAGCAGTCATTGAAATTGGGTAAAGAACTATATTTTAATCTTGACTTTAGAAAATAAGAAACATTTTAAAATCTGATATTTTTCAGCCGATACCGATGAGCTGAGTGGTTGGCCCTGATTTACGATCATGTCGATCGTATTGGGACAACTCTAATCACGATGCATTTTGTCCTTACCATTATGCAAGTGTGTTTCAGGGGGCCCTTATCATTCTTCGCATGTGAGTTTTACAAATCTTGTTGATCAAATTACAATTGCATTGGGCATCCATGGAACGACTGTATTTACCTTCACTTTACTATTATGGCCTAAAATTATCCATAATCATGAACATTTTCAAAATTTGACATCCAAGTATGGCTGAATGTCTCCGATGCTGAAAACGGAGACATTTAGAGTTAGTTAAAGTTATCTTATTATATGAAAACGACACTTTTGAAAGGGAAGCTATCCCGTCGAATATTAATGGTCAACCTCTTGAATCCTCTTTGATCATAGGACACTGTCAATTGTGTTTTATGAAGGTCATGACTGGGGAGGTATCCATAAAATGCTCTTAAAGTTAAGGGAAGGTGGTTTAGGTATTCATAGCATGCTGGGAATGTTATAAATGGGTGTAGTGTGTCTTCGAGGCGGTGGCCCTGTCAGCCTCCACTATCGTGCTATGCCGCCTGGGACCGTCGACAGCTAACGGCTAACGTTAGCACACTCGAGGGCGAGGCTTTGGCGTCTTAAGGCCAAACGCTAGGCCAGCGCACAAGAAAAAGTGCCCACCCCAAAAAGTACACGTAGACGTTGCGAGAGTGGAGATGAATAAGCCACGAACTAAACGTCAGGCCGAGTAAGATACTCGGTGACGCCGAGAGTGAACAAAGTTAGCAACACATTTGCAAAGCGGCGCTGTCGGTCTTGGCGTGGGGCGAGGCAAGCCCTTGTTACACAACCGCGGCTCCACCGTAAGCACAAGAAACGGGACCCGATTTTCCGAAACGCACGCGCGGCTTCGTACTTTTCAAAAAGACGAGCGTTAAGTAGCACTTGAACTCTGAATGGGGGAAAAGTTTGAGAAACGGAAATAGAATAAACGGAAACAAAACAGCATAGGGCAAATGGAAAGGAGCCGGAAATCCTGGCAAAGGTTTACTGCGTTGATAGACTTCCGAGAGCAGCCGTCTGGGCAGCACACGCGTTTACGGTGACACCACTAAGTCCGCGGAAAGACTAAAATCGAGATCCACTCTTGTATTTTATTGTATGATACTTTAGATTTGGCGCTAACGGTTGATATAACGCGGCGAGGGGATCGAACGACGCCCTTTATCGTTTAACGACGTGTACTACGCACTGTTTGGGGCAGCGGGCGGGCTTGGCTAACACCGCTCGCGACAGGGCTAACTTTTGTCTGGAAAAGACGTTCAGCCATTTACCTTCGTGTATATCCTCAAGATGCTAACACTGGTTGTTGGCCGTTTGGATAAACACAATGGGACGTTCCCTTTCAAGACTGGGCAGGCGGCTACCGCTCTCGGCTAACGATTGCTAGCTCGCTAAGCTAGTGGCAAAACAGCGGGAAGACAGCGAGCACGAGCGAAGCTAACAAAATGGACTTTATTCTACTTCGTTTAGGAGCAACTCCAGTGTATTCAGAAACGACCATACCTCTTAAACGTGGAGCCTTGGGTTTAAAATCTGGAAATGTGTTCAATTCGAGGCGGTAGGCTTGACTATATTCTCTCAGTCGAGGCGAACTTTTTGGTCAACTACTACTACTACAACACAGTACAAACACAAGAGAGCGGAGGGCGGAGACTAACTGGCATGACTGAACTTACTTTAAAACTTGTATGGGGAAAACAAGGGCACATTTTTCAAGTTGGTTGGCCATAATTTAATGTACAGTAGTTCATTGTGGCGCGTCGTATCGTGTCAAAAAAGCAGTTTTATCTTGGTAAATTAATATTTTTTTTGTAATTCTTTATAGTGTTGGGGAAATGCCGGATCAAATATAGGAAACAGCATAGACAGCAATCAACTCGACCAAGAAGTTTAAAAATTGCTACTCGCACATATTGTGCAACAAGTGTACCCACCCAAATTCCCATAGAACCTATAAATTGACGAGTTCGATGATTGTTAATGGATGTGCATGTCTAACAGTAACAAAATTGCATCTATAAAACAGTTGCATAACAATTTAGTTTTGCCGTTTCATCGTTCACAATTGTGTTCAGTTTACATCAGCTAGCAGAATTTGTAATATTTAACCCATTTAATCCCAAATTTTTCCCAGACATTTAAAAGTCAAAATCAGGTGTCATTGGTAGCCCTTTTAAGAAATCAGTAATAACAATTTTTAGAGCCCTGTAAATTAAATCATTGTTGTCCTTCACAAATGTGACCGGTGGGATTAAATGGGTTAACACTCATAACAGGGTTTTATCCTTGGGCTTTGTTTTAGCATTGTTTTATATGTACCGTTTTTAAGTTAATATTTTTGGTTTAACTGTCTTTATTTTCATGTTTCTGTTTTTTTAACTTTTAAATTCAGCAGTTTGTATGCAGCTGTAGTTGTTTTTAAAGTGCTCAATAAATTTGAGTTGAGTACCATCCTTCAATGAAAACATGAATGATCTGGCAAAACAGATTTTTTTAAAGGGATTCTAATTTACTGGTAAGGCATTTCAGAACAGCACGATCATTGAACAAAACAAGAAAATTATCCACATTGGTGGATAATTTCGTGTCTTCAATGAATCTAACATGTTTTGGCGATGTGAGAGGACGTTCACACAAGATGGACAAAATCCAAACTTCACACCTTTTCTCTGTTGAGCTCAAGTGTAAACAGATAAATCAGCTAAATTAAATAAACAGATTTCTCTTTGCTCTCCTGTGCATCTGTATCAAATTCTATAATGCAATTCAATTACTTTTTAGAAACTAGGAAAACTTGGAACTATTTAATTGGTAAATCCTTCTACACCCCAACATATATTTGCATATACAGTATTGTATTTTATTTGTCAGTTGGAATAATGACATTTACTGGATACTAAAGATACATCTGTCCTATATTTACAAAAGATGTGTATTAGTGTGTTTAAGTGGGCACGTACAAAACTCCACACAATCTGTGTCCAAATCCATTGGCCGCATCCTTCAAAGGCCGAATTTGAGGACATCATGACTTAACTTCCCCTTGTACCTCAACTGCACGCTGCTCTCCACATTCACGGCCTCGAATGTGGCCTTTGTTTCCATGGAGATGGCCCCTGAGGGAAGGCTGCTTTGGATCGCACTTTCGTAGCCCACATTGCTCTATTCTTCTTCAAGCTTGTCCGAATTCGCCACGGTTTACGCAGCCCATGAAGAGAAACCTTCGAATGACTCAGTCCCGAGCGTACCTCGGAGGATGTAGCCTACAAATTGGGACGCAGCACTGGAGATCTTTTTTTTTTTCCTGGAGCGATTTACAATTGGACCTATTCAGTCAAACATATCTTTCATTCAAAGATTATCGTCAATTTAAGGGCCCACACAGATCAATGCAATTATGAAAAAATGCTGAAGATTAATTTAGCACAGTCCTTGAAAGATACTCATCTACCTCTTATTTTGAAAGCCATTTCAGACTGAAATGCCCAGCGATGTATATTTTTGGTAAAAGAGTTTCCCTTTCAAAATAAAGGTGATTTTTCTTGTGTTGCATCGTTTGAACATTTGAGTGCTGTACATTTCCCTGTTTATGACAAATCTTGAGAACCATGTGAAACAAATGATTTAAGAGTGAACAGCGACGATCCTTGTCAATATGAAATTGTTTTCTTTTCCATTCGAAAGTGTTTCAACCTGGTAGTAATATACAGTAATACGGGCGAAAGGATTACATTTAGCTCCCGATAAAGCATTGTTTCTCCTAGAACGCTAATCACCGTTGGCTGAAACTGTTCTTTTATTGTGAAGGGGTGGGACGGAAAGCGTGGGGTTGCTTGTAGAGCACAGGCTAGCCAAGATGGCGGAGTACTTGGCGTCGATTTTTGGGACAGAGAAAGACAAGTAAGCAATTTTATCAACAATTTGTCGTTTAGTAAAATCGACTCTGTATGTTTTACGTCCATAGGTGCTCCCATGCTCTTGTGAGCATTCTGTGGTACAGCTTTTGAAGAGCTACATTATTGGCGGCTAACGCTAGGTAGCGTTAGCTAGCTGGCTACCTAGAAAATGCCGCGCTGCTTACATTTCTTGGCCTGCAACGTCAACCTGCCGAATAGTTCTGGAATGCTCCTACAAGTTACTGTTGCTTATTAAAATTACAATAGTTTGATGGGTTGAGTCACTGGGAGTGGTGTTTTTATGGATTAGGCGCCTAAATGGTTGCATTCAAGTCAAGTCTTTGTTTGAATGAAAACGATGGGTAGCATGCTATGTAGCATCTCGACCACCTTCTTATCGCAGTACAGGAGCACATTAGACACATGTACCCCCGATACGGATATAAATTGAATTATAATATTATTATGATTATAATTATTTAGCTTTAGCATAAAAATACATTCGCCTTCTTGCCGGTGCTCACTTTCGTGAGGAGTATTCCCTTATTACATTCTCAGTAGATTCTAGATTTATCGAATTATTGTTATAATTGTTTTTACACTTGTGTTTTGAAGTTCTTTTGCATCGTAATTATTGTGAAAAATCATGAACAAATTCAGTGTCTTCACATAGATTAATTTAGTCTTTAATCTTCTGAAACATTTTACGACAAGGTTAAGTGCTGTTTTGTTGGCAAAAGGGGAGTTGTACAAAATATTAACATCAGGAGTGTTTTATAATTGAGGCACACATGATTTGAGGTAAACTATTTTTTTTCCGCCTGCTATATAAATGAACTTGAATCAAAGGTTGGTAGTTCTTTTTTTCCCCCTCTATTTAGGTCCCATAATATTGAGAGGGGGGAAAAAAGAATTTGTTTAGAAAATAAGACCACCTCTTGATTAGGGCTGCCAAAAATGATGAAGGGCAGTGTAGAAACATAATGCAAAATCTCTACAAGTGTCCACATTTTCAAATGATGACTTCTCCAACATTCCTCTGAGTTTTGAGACGCCCGGCTATTCTTTACAAGTCTTTACCTCAACTGAACGTTGGACTCTCTCTTGTGCTTCCCTCTCCAGAGTAAATTGCTCCTTTTATTTTAAAATTGGTGCCTGTCGACATGGTGACCGCTGTTCCAGATTACACAATAAACCCACTTTCAGCCAGGTAAATGAATCTTTTTGTATCCTACATGTTAAATATCGCATCAGATACCACCCATATAATGTAATGAGGTAAGATGCATTTTCACTGAGTACTGATTTGATTTGAAATGTTTATTATCTTTGTAGTTGCAATGTTGTAGACCAGCAATTTGGCTTCACGTAAGGGTCGAAATTTTGCGATTCTCTCTGAATGAAAACTCTCCAACCAAAATAATAGAGATATAGTTTTAAAATTAGTGGAAAAAAATATTTCATTGAGTGATTCTATTAGTTCTCATGAGATTGTACCGATGTTCCTAATGTCCACCGAGTATATAACTGCTCTGTCGGAGGACACGGAATTGAAGTTGTCGGGCTGCCTCCATTACAAGTCATTAGAAAGCCTCCTGAATTTTGTGCACATTGGTTTTCAGACCATCGCCCTCCTGAACATTTACCGCAACCCTCAGAACAGCGCCCAGTCTGCTGATGGCCTCACCTGTAAGCATCTTAATATGTCGTTGGAATAAATGCGCTGATATCACAAGTACCGGCGTGTGCCTCACTGTCGTTCTCCGTTGTGTCCACCAGGTGCCATCAGTGACATGGAAATGCAGGAGCACTATGATGAGTTTTTCGAGGTAAGCTTTCTTGTACATTGATGCTTTCCAGAGCATCAGTTTCTTTCAGGACACGGATAAGATGATGCCTGATTGTTCCCCCGCCGCGCTCTTAGGAGGTCTTCACAGAAATGGAGGAGAAGTATGGCGAGGTGGAGGAAATGAATGTGTGCGACAACCTGGGAGACCACCTTGTGGGGAACGTATATGTTAAGGTGGGTATCTGGTGTCTCTCTTTTCTATTTACTCATTATTATTATTATTTTTTTTTATGTTGTGATTGTTCCCTTGTAGTTCCGTTGTGAGGAGGATGCTGAGAAAGCCGTGATCGACCTGAACAATCGCTGGTTCAACGGGCAGCCCATCCATGCTGAGCTTTCTCCTGTCACAGACTTCAGGGAAGCTTGCTGTCGCCAGTATGAAATGGGGTGAGTGTGTGTGTGTGTGTGTGTGTGTGTGTGTGTATGTATGTGCCCCTGAGGCTTTGCTGATCGCCCTCATGATCCTCAAGTTCAGCTGGGATTTGTATGATGAAAGAGACTCGGGGAATGACTGCTGGGTAATGTTCAAACACTTTCATTTTTAAACGCACAAGCTGACAAACTCAAGTACAAAGTCATCTTCGGTTTATGATGGACTTCCGTCTTTGGAATCATTGTGACAAAAAACACCCACAGTGTTTTAATCCCTGGACTGTAATTTAAACTCTGAAAATGTTGTGCAACTTTAGATTCTTTTGAGTTACTGTAATTTAAACTCTGAATGTTTTGTGCAACTTTAGATTCTGTTGAGTTTATTTTTGTCCCATTCGTTTGTTTTGGACTGAATTTTCAAGTACACCTCAAGCTCCCCAGAAAAAAAGATCTTGAGCCTGTTTAGTCAGCATCAGAGTTTTAATAGTTTTTATTTGTTATTGTAGTTAGTTTTTGTTTGTTCGTTTTAACTTCTAAATTCAGAAATAAAATGTGCTACTTGAACCTGCTGTGGCAACACAACATAACCTTGAACGCAGTAGTATAATAAATACTAAGTTTAGAAATCAATGAATAATTGTTTTTTCAATCTCAATCAAAATAATTGTGATTTTTGTTGTTGTTTTTTTGTTTTTGGTTTTTTTTTGGTCAATAATCCTCCAGCGCCAGTAATCTCACCGATACATTTCAAGTGTCTGAAATGACTGTCCTCTTGACAGCTTGTATGCTTTCTGTGCTCTGAGTGTTCCTCTTTCCACAGGGAATGCACTCGAGGTGGCTTCTGCAATTTCATGCATCTGAAGCCCATCTCTCGTGAGCTGAGGAGAGAGTTGTATGGACGTCGCCGGAAGGGAGGGTACGTTTACACAGATGCTTGTCTAGTAAACCATGAGAGTGTTACAAATGTCCCAGAATCGTGTAACACGGTTTTGTGATTGTGCACATGCAAGCTGCGCGGTGTTGATGCTTTGCTGATTTTGTTTTGTGTTGGCGCAGACCACGGTTCGTCAATCCAAATTCATTTGCATTTAGAAGTGATTGATAATTTGCTCCTCCTCCTCCGTGTAGCCGTCACAGGTCCCGGTCACGCTCCAGAGACCGGCGATCCCGCTCAAGGGACCGGGACAGAGGAGGCCGAGGGGGCGGACGCGACCACGATAGACGCCGCTCCAGGGATAGAGAGCGTTCGGGACGTTTCTGAACCACAAGCCAGGACAACTTGCTTCCTTGTACCATTCTCACCAATTGTTGTTTTTGCCTCTCTCTCTCTCTTTTTTTTTCTTCTTCTTTTTTTAAATTTTTTAAAAGTTTGTACCCTCCCGCTTATATTGTAGGAAGAATTGAGTGGTGCCAGATGTTGAAGCTGTGACGGCTGTAAGTAACTTGTTATGTTCTGAAATGACTTTCACCCCATTAAAATTTTTATGTAATGATGTGTGATGTCAGTAATTTGTCTATGTAACTTTTTAGGCCTTGTCTGGTGTCAGTTTTAATATATTAACACTCTCATATTGAATTTATGACATTTATCCAATTATACTTTTGAACACTGTTCGAGACCCATTTGAGCAGGGTGCTATCAAGTGCGGTGAGAAGGGCGCTCTTAACGAGCTATGCTGGTTTAGGGACTCGAACAAAGGGCTTTTTGGTGATGCTGATGTTCTTATCGACTCATCCATAGCTTGTAAATTACTGAACAACACAATTTCTTATACCTGATATACCGCACTGTTGATCTGAACTGCATCAAACTCACAATGCTGGACCCCCACAAAGCAAAATTGGGATCAGGAAACGAGCCTTGTCGTGGACAACAAAAATCACGGAGTTGGTCAAGATCTGCAAGGCAATGACATCATGTTTGTGTATATTATGGATACTATAAAAACAAAATCTTGTGATAAAAGAAAAAAATAGGCACCAAGGTTTTCTCTGTAAGATACTGGGTAACACGTGAGTGGTAGAAAATGTGGAATGAAAGATGAGAATGAATTTCTTATTCCCCTTTCCTACCTTCGCATCCTGTTTAGAAAGTAAGCTGTAAATTGCTGGCAAGCAACACATACCGAGTCACATTTTAAAATTGCCCGACAGGATCAGCTCGCTGTTCCTCGATTAACGTCAGCATTTTCCCTTCCTCTGATTGGTTGGTCAGAACAAGCTCTATTGTGATAATCAGCACTTCCATTGAGTGACGTCTTTCGTTTGCAACTTTTTATATGCTTTGGTCGTGTTAAGACAGAGTAATTCTGACCTTCTCCACCTGTCGCTGTAACAAGTGACCCAGCATTTATGGCCGAAAGTGTGCTATGGACACAAATGTGTGCTTTCACACAGTGACACGGCATCCCGCAATCCGATAATAAGATGTACCGAAATACTTATCAAACCGTGACAAGTGATTGTCAATGAATGTGATAATGATTTGAGTTTCATTTTCCACCCTTCCTCCCTTATTTACTTTCCGTCTCTGCTTTGACGCCCTCAAAAAAGCAGAAGAGGACAGACACGTGCCATCATTCGATGACCACAAACCCGTGTCTGTGTGTCCTTGTGTGTGTCTGGTGACGAACAGCGTATGTGAATTCATACAGATGACGCATGTCCACTTCCCTCCCGGCATTTCACGCACTCCTGTGCCTGCTGCGAATAATTGCAAAAGCTGGCAGTTCAGTTGTCGCCTCGGAGCCAAGAGTCTCGTGAGGGCTGAAAAGAAAAAGTACTTTTCAGAGCATGTGATGCATGCGTAGGGCCTGGTCAAATGTCCTCAAAACCATGCCGGCTCGAACAGTGTGTTTTGAGTTGAGTTGCTCAAATTCCTTTTCCTCCACCAATATTTACAATGGAGCTTGTGCAAGGGTTGGTTGTGTTTAGCTGCTCGCATTATTCCTTTTAAAATTAGACTAAAGAGGACCAAAAAAAAAATCCTAGGTTCTGCCGTTGGCTAGGGTACAGGGCCTATTGGTTAAAATAAATCATTTTAAACTAAAGAAAAATCTTTCATTTGGGTTGATATGCTGCGTCAACGCGCCGGTGTATGCTCCACTCGATATAATTGAATGAAAAGTGAATATGGCTTTGTAAATGTATACGATGCATTTAAAGCAGTATATAAGTGCACTCCGCTGACCATTTAAATATTTCGATAAAATTGGATTTTTCATGTCTGATTATGACGTGTTTATTCGCAAAGGCTCAAGAAGCGACTCGAGCGTCATTTGCTGATGTTAGTACGGATGGCAAATGGAGAATTTGGGTGCGAGTCTGAGCTCCAGCAATTACTATAAGAAGCTGCAAGTTATGTATGAATCTACGTTATATATATTTGGGGTTAATTGCTTTCCTTGACTTCCTCTGAATTCCTCAAGTCATTGTCATCAGGAGTTGTGACATATCGATATAATTGAATGAAAAGTGAATATGGCTTTGTAAATGTATACGATGCATTTAAAGCAGTATATAAGTGCACTCCGCTGACCATTTAAATATTGAGATAAAATTGGATTTTTCATGTGTCTGATTATGACGTGTGTATTCGGAAAGGCTCAAGAAGCGACTCGAGCGTCATTGGCTGATGTTAGTACGGATGGCAAATGGAGAATTTGGGTGCGAGTCTGAGCTCCAGCAATTACTATAAGAAGCTGCAAGGTTATGTATGAATCTACGTATATATATTTGGGGTTAATTGCTTTCCTTGACTTCCTCTGAATTCCTCAAGTCATTGTCATCAGGAGTTGTGACATATGTGTTGCTTTCAGTGGTACGATGTAAATGGGTTGACTGTGTTTCTAATCGGACCAAGGACACAGGGAGACGTGATCCATTCACACCGCACACATTCGCACTTGGGTGTGAGTGACACGTCCACGCGCAACCACACACACCCACAACCCTCAGGCCATCATTATCCAAATCATTTGACGGTGAGGGTGGGTGATGAGGAGGAGGGGCGTCATGCAGCCGTGGCACCTGCAGTCACGACCCCGCGTCTGGGAGCTTGCGTCACACGGAGGCGGCTCTGATAGCAGCTTGATTGTCACGTCCATTAGTGGAGGGGGTCGCTCAATAGAAGGTGAAAATAGCTCCACTCTCTCTCTCTCTCTCTCTCTCTCTCTCTCTCTCTCTCTCTCTCTTTTTCTGTCTGGCTGACTGGAAATAAAACAAAGATTGTGTTCGAAATCACTTTAAAGCGCCCTATATAGTGAGCATGCCAACTCCCATTGCAGCACTAGTACACGCAGCGTTATGTTTTATTGGAACGAGGCGGGGCAATTGAGAAAACGGTAAGCGAATTAAATGATCATTTTCGTCCCGTCGCATACCAAGAGATGATGCTCAGCGCGACAGTTGGCATTGATTATTTTGTTGTGTTTATCGAAATGGTATGTTAGCTATGTACAAAAGCGTTGTCAATAGAGCCCTTGTTCTTTCACTGGCGTTCAGAATCAAGACACCCTGTGCCAGATTCAGCGGCTCCTCTCTCTCCTGTGGTTGAGAGGAAAGACATTTCATCTGTGCTGTACGTTGCACATAGAGCACATTTGACAATAAAGTTGAACTTGAACTTGAATCCCTCGAACCTGAGCTGAAAAAAGCTCCAGTTTGTCTTTTGTCTTTCTTTCCTGACCAACGAATTTTCACTTATGGGAAAAATGAGAGCTTCCATTTAGATCAAGTGCAGATGAACCGTCCTGAGCTTTGGACATTTTCAACTTTAAAAACCACATTAGCTTACAAACCTTGCAATCTTTAAATCGTTGCTCATCCCAGATAAGGAATTCTTCATTAAGGAGGGCTACATACAGGAGTCAGGCAAGTGGAAGACCCCATACACGTCACATTTCTGTGACAAAACAAATCAAGTGTCCCTGTCACAGCCTCTGTCAGGGCCTGTAGCACAGCAGATTGAGACAACAGATAATGTGTTTTTTTTTTTTTTTTTAATAACATGTATAGATCAAAGGCAGCGAAACACAGCCTGCAGGAGAATGATATTGAATTACAGATGTAGATAACAGTAAAAAAAAAATAAACTAATAAAAAGGACACATGCAAGACAATGTGATTGTTGTGTTGGTGTGAATTCTGTCTTCATGCGTCACACGAGTTTCCTTCAGGGGAGTGCCAGCCATCTGAAAATAACCTTTTAACTGTGTTTATTGTTTCTTACTTTTCTCACATTTCTTGTCCTCCTCACAGATGCCTTGCAGATTGCAAATGGGATTGTTCGGAAAAAGAATGTAGGATGGGGTGGGAGGCTGACAAACATTCCCGGCTGAGTGAAAACCAACATTCGGGGGGCATACAGTCCCCTCCCAAAAGATTTGGAATGGAAAGGTCAACTCCTTTGCTTTTGTTGTATTCTGAAGATATTTGGGTTTCCCGATCGAATATGAAGATGAGACAAAAGTTCAGAAGTCCCGCTTTTATGTCATGGGATTTACATCAAGATGGCAGAGCAACTTTTGTTTGAAGCCACCCGATTTTCAAGTGAGCAAAAGTATTGAAACACACATTATCAAATTAGCTTGAAGTGAATAACATTTCACATTTGGTGGCATACTTGCAATTACTGCATCACACCTGCAACCCATTGACTGAACCAGACTGTTGCATTCTCCGTTTGAAATGCTTTTCCAGGCCTTTACAGCAGCCTCTTTCAGTTCGTGTTTGTTTCTGGGGGTTTCTCCCTTCAGTCTCCGCTTCAGGAGGTAAAAATGCATGCTGAATTGGGTTAAGGTCCTTTGTTGTGTTGGCAGTGGGTTTTTAGGTCATTGTCTTGTTGCAGAGCTCCAGTCTACCTTTAAGGGCCCATTTCAGTTTTATAAGGTCAAATATGATAAAAAGGATGTGTTTATCGTGCTTTGTAGAGCAGGTCCTCAAAGTTATTTTATTTCTAAACATAGAAATGATTTCCATCCCCTGTGCTAGGCGCCTGAAGGTGTCTCTCAGTGGAACTTTTAAGCTTTCCTGTTTATGAAAGCTAAAGTTCAGCAGCCAGTGCGGCTTAATAAATACTTGATGAAATGCTAGCGCAGCATGATGCTGTGTGGGAGAAACAAATCCAAAGAAGAAATTAACCGGTGTCAAGTCTGCCATTCAAATTTCTCTTTCTCTTTGCAGCCTGCCTCTTTTCTCTCTCCTCTACAATTTTTGCCGGTTATTGACGTCTGCAGTGTGGTTCCCCTCCACCCCCCGCCACTTCGTTGGTGACCTTGCACAGCTCCAGCTTACGCAACATTCGCAGAGCTGTGATGACCGAGGAGTCCACTGCGACTCAACACGTACAGCACACAAATGACCTCAATTCTAAATTCATGAAACATTTATGATAAAATAAGTTTTCATGTTAAAAATTGATGTGAAAGTTTTTAAACATGTCCTGTTCAAATGCTTCATTGCTTTGGGTGGTGGATTGGTACGCTTTTTCATGCC